GGGTGGGGAAGAAGAGCTAACAAGAAGAGTGACACCTGCATTTCACATATCTCATTTCCAGACAGAAATTTTAACTTTGAAGCCTTTGAGGCACACCTCCTGGTTAAATGGGCCTACTTCTTACACTGGAGGGCTTTGTGGTCCAGCTGAAGGATCTCTTTGGACATAGTCCCTCTTACCAAGCACAACTGATCTTTTTCTAGGTCCTAAAGTGATAAGTTCTCCATCAGGGGCCAAATCAAACTTACAATTTGGAGCACTGCAACATAGGTAATTAGCCCGGCTGTTTAAAGCCATTTCCTCTTAGGTGCCTTGGTCATTCTGGCCAAGGTCTCACCATACTTCTGGTTTAATATTGGATTCTTTTTTTCAGTTTTTAAAAAAAATGTTTGCCATTTGTCATGTGTGCTCATAGAAACCCTCTCCTCTGATGTGCAAAGGGAATTTTGCCACCCTAAAATGACAAAATTGTGAAAACATGCCATGTCAGAGGAGAATGAGGGAAGAAGAACAGAGACCACTGCCAACCCTGTCCCGTTAGCGGATAGCACAGGATGATGGCAGGGGCAATGATGGGTGCAGACCAGGGCCACCCACTGCCACCCACCCTGGGCTGGAGAGATGTCACACAGAGGACAGGGCCTGTGGGGAGGTGCTTGCAACCACCATGAATGTGTGAATCCCATCTTCCACCCGCACGTCCACCCCCAGGCTCCACTGCTTCTACATCCCCGCGGCACATTAGCAGAGCATGATGTGGTTGCATGGAGGGGCAACAGTCGCCACCACCAGAATCAGCATCACCTCTCTCTTTGACCAGAGCAGGTATGATGGATTGCTGATGTGGTTCTAGCTTGGGTTCATAGGCAAAGTTATTTGCCTAGAACAAATGTCCACAGAGTATCTACAATACCCTTTATAACCATGTTAGCTAATGGATGATAAATTATTTCTATTTGTGACAAAATCATAAACTCCGGACTACAGAAACCCACTGCATCTTCATTTTTCTCTGGGTCTTCTGCCCTTTCTATTTTCCTGTACTTGGCGCTTCCCATTTATTAGCTCAAATCAGTCTTTCTTCCTGACTCCTAACCCAATTAGGTCTCTTGGTTTGTACTGTTACACTAACTTCCCACCATTTCTCATCACTTGTGAGCATCAGTCAACTTAATTGATATTTTAGTCGTTAAAACGGAGAAGCCTCACATCTGACTCTACTTAGCAGAACAGATGTTTCCCAGTTTCCTGCATCATGCAAAGAAACAGACTGGCTACATGTTTCAAGGCTTACTGGATATAGTCTTCCTTTTCTCTTTCATCCTAACAAAGAACAGTTTCCTTTGTTGATATCCTCCTGGGAAAATTCTGGATTCTGTGCTTGTGTTTGGTGCAGTGGGTTGGTCAGGAGATGTCTTGCTGTTGGCCCCATAGTAGCTGGCTCTTTTGCAGAAGGTGTTTAATGTACAGCAGAAAGTCACCTACAAGAATGGAAACAGCTGGTACAAGGAGCTGAGAGAATTCCGCCCGAAGATTCCTTGCATTGTGGTGGCCAACAAAATTGATGGTGAGTATATCTTCTTTCAATGTCTCAGGATTGTGATGTGATTTTGTTCTAACCTGGCTGAGAAAGAATGTCATCCATCTGTTAGGTCCAAATAAGTTCTTATTAGTCCCTCAGGGCTGTATTTTACCAAACCAATAGCTGGGTCCTCTACTGACCCTGCACGCTGTCTTACAGGCTCTTGTCTTTGTTTTACTAGCAAATAAAAATACAAATTTGATCCATTTAAAGTTAATTCAAGTGACGTCCTTCCAATTCTGACCACACTGTCCATTTCATCCAGCAAGAACCCAAAAGCTAATTGGAGCAGTACCTAGTCAAAAATTGCAGAATGTCTTGCTGGAAAAGGAGCACAACCTGTTATGTGGCTTCCCCTGATAGAGGCAGTAACTGCCTTTGTATTGCTAATTCAGCCTGCAGGGTTCCGAGGGACTCCTCTGTGTTAAAGTGTCTGAATGTGGCAAAGTTGTTTACCTTCCCCTGCAGATGACTGGATGATTCCTTCTTCTTAGGAACAACAGCTAGGCGCTCATTATTGCTATTATTTAGGCTGTGATCTGTTTCCTGCATCCTGGGAGAGCATAATGTGTCAGCTTTCTGCTCAGCATCAGTGAGAGAACACACACCCTCAGGACCAGTCTCCTGCTGTTCTCTACCAGTACAGTGTCGGACATGGGCTTCCTTGCTGGCATTCATGGTAGAAATCATCGCAGCTATGAGTACGTGTCTCCACCTGAAGAAGGTACCCTGGATCCCACTATAGTCTACAGAAGTTCATTTGTTTGAGGAGTGTGGTTTAGGGCATGGTTGATCTTGCCTAATAAGCCTTCCCTAGGATGTGTCAAGCCAGGCTTGATTGCACGGACTGTGCAGGAAGTCTGAGGCAAATGGATGTGGTGTTGGCAGCCGTATTGTAGACAGAACCTGTGTAGATGAACCCTGTTCTTAGTGTTCTGTGTGTGAGTGGATGCTGCTCCAAGAGAGACCTCTGCCTTGCCTTCATTTGCTGTATTCTCTCTCTGGTTCCCTCTCTGGGCACCACCCAACCCCATCTGAGCACCCAAAGAGCCTCAGCCCCACTCCTTTCCTCTGTAATAACCCAGGCCAGGGAAAGGAGCATTTCCCTCTCGCTGACCTCTGCAAGGGTAGAATGGGACTTGAGCTCTCTCCTGACCTCCTCTCCCAGCAGAGGACTAGATGACTACCCCAAAATTTACACACAAGAAAATAATACTGGGGGAGAGGGGGGCTAAAAATTTAAGCACAAATCCACTCCACTTTTCTTTTACTGAGTTCTCCCAGGACATTAATCTTACAAATTTTCTCAGCCTGTGATAATAGGTGAAAAAAGTGCAAGAGAAACATATCACACCAGCTATGGCTGGCATAAACAAAAAAGGAAGAAATCAATGAACATTCAAATGTAGCTCTTTTTTGTTGTTTTTGGTTTTGGTTGTTTTTTTTTTTTTTAAGATGAAAGGCAAGATAGCAACTTTGCACAAGGTGTTCTTAAGGTGGGGTTGATGGACCCTGGGAACCCTGGAGTGCTCTGTCACAAGAATGTGACTTGGGGGATGATAAACTCTCAGACAGTTCTGAACGTGTTTGAGATTTGCTGCTCCAGCTGGATGCACATAAGTCTACAAGGCTCAGTGGGATTCATCAGCTGGTCGAGTTCAAGAAGTGTCTGGATGATGGTCTTAGTCATATGGTTGAGTTTTAGGTAGTGCTATGAGGAGCAGGGAGGTGGACTTGATGATCTTTATGGGTCCCTTTCAACTTGAGATATTCTATGAACCCCCTTTTTGCCTCTCAGAAACACAAAAAAACAAAGTTCAGCCCGAAACCCCAAGCTAACAGGTTTCTTCCACCCTTAGAGAGGACCTATTTTCTGCCCTGTATCTCTGCTTTGCTACTCACCACAACCCTCCCACTGCAAAGCAAACACTTTCCTGCCCTGAAACTGAAGGAAAGTGGAGTTCCCAATGGAAAAGAGAAAATAAATTACATTCAGCAGTTTATGGCTATAGAATTTGCAAGGCAACCCTAGTTTTGTTTGGTTAAAGAGAAATATGTTCTCAAGCCAAAACATAGGTGGAAGTCCAAACAGCCACATCCTCTCAAGACACATGACGGCATGATACTTTAATCAATTCAGTTTCAGCTGGAAGAAAGCTTAGCCACCACCATTCCCTGCTCCTGAGCTTGTGCGAAGATGGAAACAACTAACTGGTACCCGACATCCCAAATCTTTGACCCCTTGCCAACCAAAATATTTATAATGAAAATGGGATTTCAGTGATTAAACAACTTCTTTGCAGTGCTCCTGAAAGACACCATGCGTCTTGGAGCAGTGGGTATCAAGAAACAGTATACTATAAAGGAAAAAAAAACAACTTGCAGTATGTGGACAGTTTTTGTCAAGTTCCAACACACTGACTTAAAACGAAACCAACAACAAAACCCTCTTCCTGCCTGTAATGGAGAATATGGAGGTGCTTTAAGTGCAGAGTAGTATCACAGAGTAAAAGAATCCAGAATTTGGAAAAGGCAAACAGGGCTGTCAGAAGAGCCCAAGCTGTTTGCTTAAGTAAGCTTTTCTAGCTAACAGCCCAGGCGAGGGGATGAGGCGCACGCTCAGCCAGCCTGCAGACCCCTACCAGTCTGGGCAGGCAGAGGATACGGTCCAGAGTGGAGCTGCTTCTCAGAGGCTGGAGAAATGAGTTGAAGGTCCATGGGTCTATGGTTCTTCCATGAACTTAGACCAGACAAATACAGTATTTTGCCCCTAGGATGGAATAATTCCATGCAGTGGCCCAGGCCAGCCAGCTGGCCAGGGGACTAGGGAACAGCTTTGCAAAAATGGACTGGGGGTCCTAGTGGTCAACAAGTCCAAGAGAGTGCAGCCAACTGCACACTGGGCTCGTTCATAGGAGTGTCAGCAGCAAGTGGAGGGAAGTGACCATTCCCCTGCAGTCAGCTGCTTTCTTCATTATAGTTTTCTGTGCTCAGAGGCCTGGGAGGAGGGCAGAGCAGCACAGGCTCCAAGCATGCCCTGCTTATCGGTGGAGGTGGTGCCCACACCACGGGGGACAGATGACCCAAGCTGGGTTACAGGACACTGCTGTGCAAGCTCACCCTCACTTGGGACACACACTGGGGCAGACATAAGGAGACTAACACACAGTTAAGCTCCAATTGCAAGACCATTAGCAATTTATTAACCTGTCAGTCGATGTGACTTCCAACTCTGACAACGAAATGCGAATGCACAACTGCACCATCTGAACCAGAGGCACCTGCTATGCTGGGAGAAGGCTAGAAACCAGGGACTCAGGCTGTGCCCTGACAGTCACCACCTCAGCACTTTCTGCTTCAGTTTCCCCTTTTTCAAAGTGGGAATGATGCTGGTGACTTCACCTGTGAGATTCTGGGCAGCCAGGTGCCACCAGCTGGGGGACAGAAGGGTAAGAAAAGTGAGTGAAGCGCTCCTCTTCCCCATGTGTCAGGGGGAGGACAGGTGCCCTTCCCCTCCCAGCACAGAGGCCAGCTCAGCAGGGATTGGGCAGCGCAGCCCATCACCACGCTGGGCACAGGGGAGGCTCAAGATCCCCTGCTCCTGCTGCGGCCAGCCAACCTGGACAGCAAAATGGGAAGGTAAAGGCAGCCTTGCTCTACCCAGGAAAAGAAAGCCTGTCTAGATGCATAGTACAACATAGCTTGGCAGCTTTCTCTTCTCAGATCACCAAACTGGTCTGAAAAGGCACTTCACTCCCTGTTCCCTGAGGGAGGATATACCTGGAAAAAAACCTACGAAAGTGAATCATTAGAAAAGGTTCAACAGAAAGCAGAGACTCTGCAGCACCGCAGCAGCACTTCCCCCTAGCAGAGGCAGTAGTCCACGTGTTAAGATCAGCACCGAGATACCCTACAGAGCAAACACCACTGTGGCCCCGTGCAGCCGCCACTACCTAGGACTGGTCAGAGGCCGCGGCATGGGTGCTGGCCTGGGCCACCTCCTGTGTGGTCCTCCCTGCCCCAGCCAAGGTTCCGGATTGCAGCTTCCCTGCAAGAGGGCTGTTGGGATGCAGCCGGCAGAAACGCCCCAGCGTCCAGATGGGGAAGACATTGCGGTACGCAGTGTAACTGATGGCACAGGACTTGTTGAATACCCCAGCAATATTCTCCTGTGAAAGAGACAGAGAGCAAGATGGGATGGGTGACAGTGGACCACAGTGTCCAGGATGTGGTGCTGAGCTCATTGCCTTCCTGAAGGCCCCCAACAAAACCCACACATGGCTTTCCTTCCAGGTAAGAGAAAGCACACCACTGCAATGCCTCCACAACGCTCAAGAGAGCTGCAACACCAGGGAACCCCTTGGAACGACCAGAGGAAAGATGTACCTGAGGCCAGTCCCCATTGGGCAGCTGCTTATCGATCAACACTTTAATGCCCTTTTCCAGCACGTCCGTGTCAGGGTACCTGCCAAGCACAAGGGAGATGTAAGCACTCTTCTCCAAATTGTCTGCAAACCCCCATCCATGCACATCAGGAACTCAACCACCTCCTGGCTGCTCCGAGCTTGTCCCAGGCATGCTGGGTGCTTTGGGAGGGCCCCTCACAACCCTAGGACACCAGACATGAACACAGCAACATTTTCCCAGCCTGGAGGCCTATGGTTATGATCCAGACTTTGCTTTGCACTGGCTCCTCCCTGCCTGGTGTTAGGAGCCTCGCTGGCCTTGCAGGAGGCTTGTGACCAACAAGGTCACAAACACAGTTGGGTGCATGGCCCACACCAGCCAGGCCCAGGGCCCATGCCAGCCCTGCCACACCACCCAGCCTGTGTGTCCTAACTCACTGAACACTCAGGGCCAGGTGATGCCTGAAGAGGTGGGGGCTGCTCCTACCTGACAGCCATGAGCCCTAGAAGGGCCCAACACGTGTTGTGGATCTGTGACGTGTCACTCTGCACGTATGTGCGCTGCTCACATGACTCAAAGTTCTCTCCCCACCCACCATCTGCCATCTGCTTGGAGAGGAGGAACTGGCAGGCCTGGGCCACCTCCTGGCGTGCAGACCTGCAAGGATGGGGCAGAGAATCAGACAGGGCCAGGGAAAAGGAACGTTTGCACGCCCACATTCCCCAGCTGCTGTGCTCTGCCCTGCCCACAGCTGGGGCTGCCCCCAGAGCTCAAGGCTCAGGCAGGGAGTGCCCTGGTCATACTACAGGCACAGGATTTGGGAAGAGCAGTACCTGGGGCAGAAAAGCGCATCTGCAGCCAGGGCATCCACCCAGCCCCACCACAGAGCCTTGCCCCAGCCCAAGAGAGAGGGAGGGGCAGGGGAAGCAGACAGCCCCTTCTCACCCGTTGCGGTATGTGTGCTGCATACTGGCAAATGCCTCCAGACCAAACCAGGTGCCATAGGTGAAACAAACCCCCCAGCTCCTAGAAGGAAGGGAAGAGCAGTACTGTCAAGGGTAAAGGTAGGCAGTGACATGGCCATGTTCACACCAAGAGCACGGCTAGGCACAGAGCTGCAGCCTGCCTTCCCCTATGGCGCAAACATGCCCAGTCCCACCAGCACCTGCTCCCAGCTCACTCCGGCTCAGCAGCCACTCTGGAACCAGAGGAGCTGGGGACACCCTCGCCCCAGGGCTTGTCCCAGTCTTGTGCAATGCACGAGATGCATGCTCAGCCTGTGCTGGAGAGGAAAGGAGAGGAAAGCTAGGAGGACCAGCCCCTACTTGTCCTTCCCACAGATCCTGCCAACCAGGAATGTTTGCCATCATGGTCCCTCTCATACTGGGACAGCCAGGAAAGCTGGGCACCAGGAAAACTACTTACCCTTCCCATGACCCATCAGCTCGCTGCTGCTTGCAACAGAAATCCAGACCCTTCTGCAGAGTCTCCCTGGTCACGAAAAAGACACCCAATTCAGAAGCAGTTCAAACTCAGTAGCTGCTTCATCAGGGGCATCCCTCAGTCCCTCCGATGGGTCCCATTATTAGAGGGCTCAAGAGACAAGAGCATGCAGACAGGCAGCCATGTTGCTCAGGATCTCAAGTGAAATCCTGCACCAGTTGTTCTTTCTGCCTCATGCTAGCACACAAACAGGGGACCCAGCCTACAGCTGGCTGCAAGATCAAGACAACTGCTACATCAAGAGGCAGGCAGATCTCCACCAATTTCCCCCAACCTGATCCCAAACAGCCTATGCCCTGCTCCATGAGAGAGGCTGGGCCTCAGCCTCTTGCAGGGGGCTCTGGTTTGAAGAAGTCGCCAGCATCCTTGTGCACATACCAAGGGCCACTGCAGGGGCTATTCCATGCCAGTGCAGAGGTCCAGGCAAGAACCATGCCAAGGCTCAGCAACAGAGTGCCAACAGAGGCCATGGGCTGTCTGCAGCTTGTCTCTTCCCCTACCTGACTCTCATCTCAGCACCTCACCTGATCTCTGTGGCCCTGTGCTCAGGGAACTCATCGTGGAAATGTCTCAGTGCCTGCATGACAGCCGAGGTGCACTCCACGTAGGTGTAGTCAATCATGATGTCACCTGCCAGCAGGTGAAGGGTATCAGTGCATCAGCCTCTCTGCTGGGGAGCCCCAAAACACACACTGCCCACCTCTCCCTTGGACCCAAGGCACCTCATCCCACCAAGCACAGACCACTGTGTTCCTTCACAACAGACAGGATGACCAATCCCACACAGTTCCCCTTACCAAACACCTCTGAGGGGTTCAGCAGCTCCAGTAAGCGGCCTCCTCGCTTGGTTTCGTATGTGGCAAAGCCTCCATCCGAGTTCCTCATGCTCAGCAACTGCCCAGACAAGCAAAGAGAGCAGCTGGGCCTGGCTCGTGGGCAGCAACACCCCAGTCTGGCCCCAAGCCAAGTGTGAGGCCAAAGTCAGACCCACCAGCCCATAGGGCTGGTAGACAACCCACGTCCCAAACCACACTGACAGGAAGGTCCAGACATGGCCCATCACATTAGGTTACACACATAGCTCCCTATCACAGTAAATATGATGTTGCCATCCCAGGCCACAGGCCTTGTAGTAGTTTAGTAATACCAGATATAAAACTCATCAAGCCTTGACTTCTCTTATTTTAGCTTGGTTTAGCTGCCTGCATTTCCCTTGGCCCTAATCTTTGCGGTACTTACCACATTGACAGCATCAAAGAGGCGCTCAGGGGGGACAAGCTTGGCTATGAAGGGGCACTTCTCCTGCAGCAGCATAACTGACTTCAGCCCCTCTGCTGTGCAGTCTGCCACGATCCAGCCGCAGTCTCGGGTGCTGAAGGGGAAGCCACCCTGGAAAGGGGTCAGGAGGGCTCAGCACCCTCCCCTGACATGTTCTGTTCTTGTAAGGGAGGAGGCGCTGCCCCTCATTACCAACCCCTCTGCCCAAATCCCTTCCCTGTTCATGTGTCTTCCAGAGACCAGTTTCAGCCATCGTACCTTGTTCATATGGCGATAATATTTCTGGTAGTCAGGTGGGTTCTCTGGTATCTGCAGAAGACAAGAAACAAGCGAGGGCAGGCTGGAGGTGCCTGGCTGCAGGACCATGGGCTGAAACAGTCATAGATGCAGAACTGTGTGTGACTGTGCACCACCTATCTTTTACTAAGGGAGGCAGACAGGGAAAGAGGTCAGCTCTGGAGCAGGGAGCGCTGAAGAGAAATCACATTTTGGCCTGGTTTCAGCAAGTGTTGCTCAAGTCCCCTCTTTGGGCGCTTTCCTGCCAGGGAGCCAGCTGCTTTCCACGCTCCCATTGGCAGCGCCATGAGCAAGAACTATGAGAGCATCTTCATCAAGCTGCTGGTGACAGTGACCGGTGAACTTGAGCCACTGGCCTGGCCAGCCTGAGCTGAGCTCACGCAGTCAGTAGCCAAGGAGTCTGGCCATGCAACAGATAGGATGAAGGGCAAAGAAGCCTAAGCTCTCAGCTTTCCAGCATCTCTTAGCCCAGGCATCCCTAGGTGTGGCCAAGGTACTCTCCAAGCTGAAAAGATGGCTCCCAGCAACAGGGAGCAGAAAACAGGAGGCTGTCCCTAGGACTTTGCTAGTCCAGCCCTTCAGAAGAGCTCTTCAGAAGGCAAGAGATGCACCCAACAGGGCTCTGAGAAGCAGACAAGTCTACACAGCCAGCATGAGAAACACCACCAACTTGCTGCACTCACCTGGGTGAATTGGAGGAACTCATGGGCATTTTGGAGGCAGGATGTGAATTCAGGCATCTTCTGGGCTTCTGCCTAGAAACAGAGGTGCACAGTCAGCAAAAACTTGTGGCCAACAAATGTGCCCCTCAAGAAGAGGATGTGCTGGGACCTTGCTAACCTGCTGATCTTGGTGCCATTAATGCCTGACCCTTCACATAGCCCCTTCTGTAGGTTTGCATTCATACCTGGTTTATTGTTTCACTTAAAAACCTCTGCAGTGAGAGCTGAACCAACAACTGTTGCTGCATCACTGAGAGATATTTGCATGACCAAGTTAGGGACCTACCAGAGCAATCACACCACCCCCCAAGAAAGCCTGCCCTCCGTAGCTGTCCCCGCCCCACTGCAGGGAAGCAGGAGACCTGCACACTGTCCCTGCCAAACGGCAACGCTCTGGGGCCAAGGAGGAAGGGCCAGGGTTTTACTACAAGACTGCAGCAGGGTTTTACCACAAGACACACTCACTCAGCTGGCGCTGTGACCTCCTGCTTCAAAAGCAGCTGGCAAAGATGGGCTGTAGCAGCTGTGCTGGGCTTCCTGCCTACCATGGCTGAGGCAGGCTCAGAGCAGATGTGCGTTTGCCCAGCTCAGTCCTACAATGCAACGCCAGAACTGGCATAGCCGAGGTCTGGGGGGATGCACAGCAGGAGCTGCTGGTAATTCAGGGACACACCAGGAGAGACTGTTTTCCTAAGGCAGCCAGTAGCACTGAGGGGTACATTACCTCCAAGAAGGCTTGGATGGCAAAAGCAGTATCCCAGAGCTGCGATCCATTTGTGCCCTGGAAGAAAGGAGACAGTGAGGGGAAGACGCTGGCGGCAGCCTGACTGAGCTGTGAGTATGTGGGGACAGCATATCCCCCCTGCAATTACCCCCACCAGCTCCCTCCTCCCTGCATCTTGTTTTACATCACCCAGCATCATAGCTGATGTGCTGGCACACAGGGGACAGATGCAGCTCAAGGACAGCAGGGGAATAGGAAATGAGACAGCTGCTTCAGCCTGCTCTGTGAACAGCTGGGACAGGTGAGGTAGCTAGCAATGAGGAGCAGAGGGACACAATAGCTATAAAAGAAGCACAGCTCAGTCCACATGCAGTACCAGGGGCTTGCCTTTCTCCTGCCCTTCTCCCAGGAACCCTGGGGATGAAGGAAATGGAGGCCTAGAGCTACCCCCTTAGCTCACAGCCACAGAGAGGCCAACTAGCAGAATGGATGCTACTCGCTCCTGGCATGGCCAGGGGAAGAGGCAGTGAGACAGACAAGGCCACCAGGCACCAAATGCAAGATGCCAGGAGCTCAGGCCCAGGGTGAACAAGCTATCCTGTTATTTCATGGGCTGCTCTGGACTGCCAGGGTCCCTCTCAGTCACAGATGAACTCCTACAGCACTTTACCTGCATCTTCATGCCGTCGAGGCCCAGCCTGTGGGAGAAGAGAGCACAGTGCTGCAGCACAGGGACAGCGAGGGTGCCAGGAAGGGGGTCAAGAGCTCACACCATAGTGACCAGACCCCTATGCTGTGCCAGGTGATCCACGCTCAGCCCTTACCAGAGATAGTCAGGGATCCTGGAAACATGCTCCTGAAAAGCCGAGGAGTTCTCCCCATCCACAAACCAGCGAACCAGCATATTGATCGTCTTGGAAATCTGCCCAAAGCAGCACAGTCACTGCTCTGGATACAGCTTCTCCCAGGCCCAGAGAATCCCTCCCAGCCAGCACAAAAACCATCCAGAGGTGGTCCTGGGCTTGATCCCAAGAGCTCTACCTGTGGCATCACTCAGCATAGCTGAGTTAGTGGGGCAGATGCCATGAGATTACTCCAGAGCTTCCCCTCAGATCATTTCCCTAGACCACAAGGAGAGGTACATCTCACCAGGGCCACAGCTGTCCCCATGCCCTCTGCATCTTCTGCACCCTGTTAGCATTAAGCTCTTGAGCATCAGGAGTTGTGCTTGAGCAAGATCTGGTGATTATGGTTACATGCTACAATTGCACAAGGCTGTGGGGCCACAAGCTGGTCTCTAAAGAGCAAAGGGCGAGGTTTTTAAAGCATCAACAGCAAGCATCCTACCGGCCCAATGCTGATGCACTTGGTGAATCTGTCATCAGCTTTGATGTGGTCATACAGCTCTGTGATGGCTCGCTGCCGCAGATGAGTGTTGTGGTGGGCTTCGTACACATTCATGATGGCTACAGAAGAAAGGGACATGCAGTGAAAAACCCACCCCATGTGGCCAGATGACCCCTCGAGGAAAGCACGGGATCTGCTCTGCCCCAGAGTGGCCTGAGGACCTGGGCACAAGGTCCTGATGCTCTCAGGGCAGGAGAAGCCCAAGGATCACACCGTCCACATTTCCATCCCAGCTCCAAGGCACACACTGGTAGCTGACAGTTAGACCCTAAAGAGCCCCCACGGTACAAAGCAGCTTCATTTCCACCACCAGCAGCTCACATGACAAGGGCCTTCCTGCCCCAGCCCACACTGCACTCACCATAGGCAGCCCCCAGCAGCCAGCTGTGCGGGGTGTACACATCACAGGCAGCCACATTGTTCCTCTGGGCTGGCCAGTCTATGCTGGCGTAGTCTTGCACATACAACTCCTGGCACAAGACAACAAAGGGTATAAGCCTGGCAAGCTGGGAGCAAGCACTCAGAGGCAGCTTACTGCTGGAAGCTGGCTCCGCTGCCTGGACAGAGAGACTGTGCAGGTATGAGAGCTGTCACTTCACAAGCCAGAGGCTGGCCCACAGGCACACAACAGGCACAGCAGGTGATCAGGGAGCCCCACCAGGGCCAGCTCTTTACCTGCCGCAAGCTCCGTATGAGCTCATCCTCTTCTGCTGACAGGCGCCTGGCATAACAGTAGCTCATGGGGAGGTAAACCTGGCGGCAGTGACACCAGAGCCGGGATGGGTGGGCTGGGAACCACGTAGGAAGCAGCCTGTTTGCAACAGAGCAGGTATGACTGTGTGGAACAAGGAGGGCCAAGGGCAGCATGGAGAGACAGCACAGGGAGACGTGCTGACAGGGGGATGCTTGCAGGTAGGGTGTGCCTTTCCCTACCCCTGTACTAGGCCTGCTGCTGCTGGTACAGCTGCAGGAGAAAATAAGGTAATATCCCCACAGCCTCGCCCTGCTCAGACCCTCCCCAACAGGGCTGCTCCCTCCCTACCAGGGCTGGCAGACACTGCTCCTGCCCCAGCTGACACAGGGCAGGGAGGATCCTGAGCTCAGAGAAGAAGGACAGGAGAAGTCAATTCAGAGGCCCCTCTCCTCCCCACGTAAGTTTGAAGGCAGAGGCCCAGACTGACAATTAAGTGCATTTGACAAAGCACCAGCAATCCTTGGTACTGTACAGCCCCTGATTTTCCCCAGGGAAAACATCACACACTTCACCCCTCTGACACTCGGTGGCCCTCTGAGTAATCAGAGAAGGTAGGGGTGAGGGTTAGAGCTGGCAGCCTTACATGTCCCGTACTGCTAGGGCCCAGTTCTGGCTGGCCACAAGACCACAAGGTACTGGTGGCAGTCAGGGAGCACATGGATGTATCAGGGACCCCATGGGTAAAACTAACAGGGCTCAGCTCTAGTATCTCCCTTCAGCCCAGGGTTCGGTGCTACTGGCTGGCCTTGCTGCTGATCTCCCAGATGACAAGCAGCCCGAGCATCCCGAGTTCCAGACCATAGCTGGAGTTATCCCAGCAAACACCAGTGCCCTGGACAGCTCTGGGTGGAGGCTGGTGGCAGGATAGACAACACCCCCTACCTCCACATTGAGGGCGGCACATACCACATCTCTGGGAGAAGGGTGTTCATTCCCTCCCAGCTGTAAACGTTCAGGACGGCCAGCCAAAACTTCCCCCAGGAAGGGATTCCCACAGCACCTCCTGCAGAGAATGATATCAGCTTTCAGGTAACACAACCATGTCAGCTCCCTGCTTTCTTCCCCACTGCAGGGTCCACTTCTCCCCATGTTTGGGAACATGCCACTCAGGCTGGGACACATGGCCCAAAAAAGGGCAAGCGGGCAATCATACAAAAATGTAACACACTTTCCCATCACCAACTGAAAATGCAGGTGCCATCAAGGGCAATCAAGAGGACAGATCCCCCGCTACCTGGCAGCCCACCATGCTCCACGTAGCCCTTGGGTCGGGCCAGACCTCTCACCCATGGCTGCCGTGCTGGGCACAACAGAACTGACCTTTGCTGTGCAGGTTGACACGGGCCCGCACAATGTCAGGGTCGTCTGGTCCAAGCCCCAGGATCCTCAAGGCTACATAGTTGAGTGCTGTGCCAAACACCGTCGATTTGTCTTCCACATGCCTGTCAGCACACACACACACAGACAGCATAACCATGAGGCAGCTACTGGCATTAGCAAGGCATAACCCACTGCACAATGTTGCCTTTGTCAGGGTGAAGTGGGATGCCAGGGGTGACTGTGGAAAAGGGGAGACGCAGCTAATGCAGGGACCCCGCATGACCCTGTTCATACATGATGCTCTGGGACACAGAGACACAGAGCAGATGCAGCCAGGCTTGATGCTCCAGCCATCTCTGTGACAAAAGGTGCAGCTGAAGCGCTACACATGTGAGTCAAACCACCCTGTGGTATCACAGTTGCTGAGTCCCACTCCCCAAGCCTGTGCAGATTTGACGGCAGCTCCAAGTGCTGGACCTTGGAGGTGCCACCAGTAAAAGAAGCACCTTTGCTACTCACAAGCCCCAGCCTCCATCCGGGAGCTGCACAGAGCGCAGGTAACGCACCATCTCTTTCCGAAACCCCTCCGGCAGTTGGATCTTGGCGGTGTGGCAAGTGATGAGGAGACCTGGAAGACGAGACAGGCTGGCTCCTGAAGCCAAACGCGACACATTCGCCCCCTTCGGGGAAGGCGCCCCGCGATGCCTACCCGGCAGGAGGAAAAGCACTTTGTTACGCTTTACAGATGCTGTAACCATGGAGCTACAGGAAAATGGACACATGGCACATCCCATCACAGGCACAGCAGTCTGCCAGCCATTGTAAAAACACCATCAGGGTTGGGGTGAGGATGGGTGGTTGTTTCACCTCTGGTGATAGGGTGAGTCAGGCATCTCCATTGTGCACCCTGCCTTGGTGGCCCCAGCATGGGTGCAGTGTC